AAAACATCCACTGATTATCTCCACCAGTTTACCGACATCAGACAGTTTATTAAAAGTAAATTACCTTGCCAAAACCTTAGCCAAGCATAATTTATTTCTTCATCTAATTAAGGATGAAAAACTAATCGCACGTGGTATGTCAAGTCTTTGTGTATAAGTTCTTACTCAGAAAAATCTGGTAGATCATTCCAGAAAAATCTCTTTTAAAGTTGAATTCTCCGGATTTCTATTACGCTTTCAATGTGTTATTGTGTCAACGTAGCACGTGTCTTCAATGTGTTATTGTGTCAACGTAACACGTGTCGACAGACTCACATTATTCAGAATACGATCATGCGATGATCACTTTTTTTGTAAATGAAATATGTTTTAACTAATTAAAATATAACTAATTAGTTTTCGTCTTCTTTATTCAATATATAATCAAATCACCAATTTGAACCTTTAAAAGTATGATATTTATTACATAATTAATTACGCTTATATTTATTATTAAGGAGAAGGTTGACCCTATGCTTCTAATCCACTAGTTTTTCTTTTAATTTCGCGATGCTAGTTCTTTTTCTTTTGACATTTGAAATGTAAATATATTAACATGTGGTCCCTTAATGATGCTACCTTAAAATTTATAAATACGAGCTGCGAACTTGTTAATAATATTTCGCATTTAAAATTGGAAAAATATCGTGCAAAACCGAAAAAAAAACGTTACAAAAATCGAGAATTATTCAGAAAATACATGACATAAAGAGACCAAATCAAGTTTTTCTGAAATAATCTGGCTCGAGTGAGTTCAAAAAAGTTGGAAGAAAATATATTTCTTCATCGACTGTGCGTCTTTTATGGTTGTATTAATTACCACTTCAAAAATATCTGACGAATTTATTGCACTACATTTAGTAAAAAATAATTATATGCACAATCTACAAATTAAAATGGTAATTTGGTCGAACCAAATAGATTTATGGATGTTCTGACAAAGATTAAGGAGATTTGCTATTTAATTACGTATTTTATTTCCTAACTCCAAGTTTTGAATGTCCATAAGACTTGTACACATGTGGAGATTTATTTTTGGTTTTTTTTCCTTCCGTGGTCGGCCTGGCATGGCCAAGTGGTTAGGGAGCTCGAGTCGCAATTTGAGGGTCGCGGGTTCGAATCCCCGTTCCATCAAACATGCCCGCCCTTTCAGCCGTGGGGGCGTTATAATGTGACGGTCAATCCCACTATTCGTGGATAAAAGAGTAGCCCAAGAGTTGGCGGTGGGTGGTGATGACTAGTTGCCTTCCCTCTAGTCTTAAACTGCTAAATTAGGGATGGCTAGCGCAGATAGCCATCGTGTAGCTTTGCGCGAAATTCAAAACAAACTTTCCGTGGTGAGAGATTTCCTTTAAACACTCTTTTAGTTTTACCAACTTCTTAAACTTATTCGCCGGAATCAGGCACTAAGAATAATCTAAAGACATAAAACAACATATATTGGTTGTGTAAAACCAATGAATCATCAGAGAATGTTCATCACCATAAATCTTCAATTTCAAAGAAGGATTGTAATATCCCTGACTGAAACATGTGTTTGAGGGGAATTTGTTTCGACTGGTTCTTGTACGTGTTTAGTAATTTAATATAATGCATATTCGTGCTTCCATTTCAGAGGTAGGGGAATGCATATAAATTTCTTTCTTGACCCAAACTTCAATTTCATAAGTTGATGTCTGCGATCTTTTTTGTATACTTCATAAGTTCCGTAAGTATTAAAATTAGAAGTAGTTGTTTAAGTTGACGTTGAATCCGAGACGCCACCTTTTGCCTATTTTCTGTGTATTTCAAAACCAGTAGTTATTTATTTTTTATAGTATCAAGACTTGATAACGTTTTTGTAAGCGGAGTTGATTTTGTGTAAATCTTGTTGACGAAATGGGTGAGATGGCCAACCCAAGTTTCTTTGATTGATACAAATAATCGGGAAATCGATCAGTATAACTTGACCACATACCGACTGGAATTTGTAACCAAATAGAAAATCTATACTAATAAAAGAGTCTGCGGACTTACAACGCTAGAAACCGGGTTTCGATACCCGTGGTGGGCAGAGCACAGATAGCTCATTATGTAGCTTTGTGCTTAATTCCAAACAAACCAAACCTGTGTGTGAGTGTGCCAAACAATCAGCTCCATAGCTACAAGAAGAAAAAACCCTAGAGACTAAGGGAATTCTGAGTGTGTGTGCACCTGGGTATTATTTTTTATCTCAAAAAAAGTTTGACCAATTTTTTTTAGCTTATAATTTTGCCATATAGTCCTTAAGCCATAAAAAGAGGGAGGTAGGTATATGCTGCCATCTGTCGCTTGGTACAACAAATTGTTATAGAATAATTGTTTAATAATAATAATAACAGTTTTGTTAAAACAGTTAAAACAAAATACACGTATAAAAGTGTTAGCATTCATATTATTGGCGGAAATGATTATATTTAAATATTTGTTTGTATCTAAAAACTATTTTCAAAATATGCGTTTACGGCTAAGGAATTTTATTACAGATTTATTATTTCAAATAAAACCTTGTATAGAAAAACATTCGACATATATATCAATCAAAAAAGTTGTAGTAAAAATAGTATTTCTGGATTTTTCTCATTTAAGAGTTCTTTCAGTGATTGTTGTTTAAGACTCACAGCGTAGGTAAATTAATATGTAGAATTATTCACGGACTTTTTTCTACCTTAAAATACGTTTATTTGCAAGCTTTCGGCTCTCTTACTGGATTCTTCATCGGGCAACAATGTGCTGAGCGATAAAAATTCGTTAAACTGTGGAACACTGCTAGGTATCTAGGCAACCGTCGTAACAAAAACTGACATCGTGTATTAGTTACTAAATACATTGAATTATAATGAGTATAAAATGTAAATCGATTTCTTCGATATGATAAACATTTATACTTATTATGTAGAGAAAAAGAAATAAAGGATTTTTTTTTATATTTCAAATAATATATTGTAAAATTAAAGGTTTAATTTTACATCGAAACCATGACAAATAGTGATGTCCATGCAGTATTGAGTAGTTTTTGGCCGTTGTTTTCATTAATACCCACTGGTGGTCCACTGTCTTCTGCTTGGATGGCAATAGTTTCCTTGATTTTTCCACGGTTTTCCTCTTATCCTTTTTCCTTCCATTGTCGCCCCCCCCCCAGTGGCACAACGGCATGTCTGTGGACTTACAACGCTAGAATCCGGGTTTCGATATCCGTGGTGGCAGAGCACAGATAGCCCACTGTGTAGCTTTGTGCTTAATTATAAACAAACAAACTTTCCATTGTCATAATTATCACTCTCCTATCAACATGACAAAGTGATCTTAGGCGAGTTTCTCTAAACTTCTCCCTAATTAGTACCACTTTCATCCTCTCCCTAATGGTTTCTTCCTGATGCAATTTTCCTTTGACAACCGTGCCACCCACCTCAACATCTGCCTCTCCACCACTTTCATCATAAATCTTTACATTACATGTTTTTCCATAAATAATTCTATGTATAGGTAGTTCAGTGCTTTCCAAGTAGGTTGTTGATAAAGAAATTAAAATTACTTTTATGGGTTATACTTCGGAAATGTATTTAGAATACTCGGTTTTAGGACATAAACTAGCACTTGTATCGATATTTGTTCTATTTCTAGAAATGCCCCCTTCGATTGCTCAGCGGTAAGATTAAAGGATTATTACGCTATAATGTGGTGTTCATTCCCCGCGATGGAAACAGCGCTGATAGCCCATTACGTAGCTTTGCCCTTACAAGCATTTTCTGAAACTTGTTTACAGGGAAAATTACATAAGATACAAACAAGACAGGAGTAAATTTTCTTATATTTTTATACCTCTTTCGACATTATTAATACTTCTAAACCCAAAATTTATCGTTTCAAGTCTACGCAAATTTGACGAGCTTGAGTACTGAATTTTGATTGAGGTTTGAAGTATTCTTCAGTCAAGTTTAATTATGTAGTTCATCAGACTATACTCTTTTTCACGCCATTAATTTAGGACAGTGTTGAGGTACAGTTATTGACAGACTAGTATACGGTTGCGTTCCTATTCTGATTCATGGTGTTGTTCAGTACGTGCATGGCGTATTCTGTCACGTTTAAGATATACATGGATATTACTCTTCTCTTAGTAGATTTAAAGGTTTTAAAGTCTATTTTCAGTTGTCTATTCTGTTTATACGTACTGTGTAAGAAGATTACAGGTCAGTTCAGTGAGTATTGACACCAGTAACGTCAGTTTACTTCGATAATTTAACTACGTAATTTTGGCTCCTACACGTATGGGTCCCCCAGTGGCTCAGCGGCAAGTCTCTGTGCTTATGATGATAAAAACCTGGTTTCGATAACCGTGATTGGCACGGCAATAACCCATTGTGTAGCTTTGTTCTTAACAAGACACATCTACATATTATTTTGCCCGCTAGTGGCTCAGCGATAAGACTAAGGGTTTATAACGCTAAAAATCGGGTTTCGATACCCGCAGTGGGCACAGAACAGCCATTGCGTATCTTTGCCTTCAACAAACAAACAAAACACAGCCTATAATTCTATATCATAGATTATGTGTGATCATGTTTGATTTGCCACAGTGCTTTTATCAAGTGAAACGTTTCAAGTAGTGCTTTACTGTACAAACTCCGAGACCAACACGACATTTAGTAGGTCGCGGTTCATGCTTTGACTTTTATCAAAACCCAGTTTGATAAGCTCTTTACTCTGTACTGTTTTTACTAACTCGTCCTACTCAACTCATACCTGTTGGTTTTTTCTGACGTTTATAGGGTTTTCGAAAGAGATTACGATTCTACTTTTCTTTTGTGTGTGTGTGAATCATGTTACGATAAATTACTGGTGTATGTTGTAAAACAAAAGTGGGCCAGACTACCAAATAAGTTGTTTTTTATCCACCTGGTGTGAGTCTCCAGTTCCATAGCAAAAATAAACTATCTAACATACTAGCATTTGATGGATATAGCTTTCAAGGTAAGAATTAGAAGATTTCTTGAAACGGATTTTTTTTTTCACGTAAATAATTTGTTGTGTCTTATTTACACAAACATAATTTGTCCCAGGATTGTTAAAATTTTATATTAACACTTTATCTCGATTTTGATGTGAAGTGAAAATATAGGCATTTATTTTATCTGGGTTTATGCTTACTGCTCTTAAGTTTGAACTATTGTGTTCCAATTCAATGTATTTCACTGAACAGAAATACAATATTTGTTATGGGTTATTTCCTAAAGAGCTGAAGGGGTAACCTGACTAAAAACCGTGGAATGGTTATTACATAATTCTTCATTAACTGTGACCTATCTTATATATTTTCAAATCTGTTTCTGTTGTGCTTCTGTTTAATGTGTGGAGTTTAGGATTAATCACATTTGAAACAGGTAAATATTAGGTGTAGCCAGACCTTCTGACAGCCTGATAGAATCTCTACACCCGATTTAGAAGAAACTAGATTAGGAATTTAGGGACCTGAGAGTATGATAAAGTTTGCTTGTTTGTTTCGGATATTTGCAAAAAAAAAAAAAAAATACCACAAAAAATTACATTGACAATATCTGCATTAGCCGACCCTAATTTGAGCTAATACATTTTAGGGAAGGCAGCCAGTCAACAATATCCACCTCTAACTCCAGGGCTACTCTAATCGAATAGTACGATTTGACTGTCACTTTTATAGTGCGAAGCGCAAGTTTACTGTAATAGGACGCGAACCATGAACCATAGGATTCACAATCCGTCCCAATAATCGCTGTGGTATTGTAATAAAACCTTGTTTTCGTTAAATAAGTAGAGAAAATATTTATCATGTTTCTTTTGCCATATTTGCTTAGATTAAGTTATCTAAGTTATCTAGTGCAATGAGTATTCTGTTGTTTCTACTTTGAGTTTTGCTTAGATTAAGTTATCTAAGCTATCTAGTGCAATGCGTATTCTGTTGTTTTCTAGTTTGAGGAATATTCTGTTTAAAATAACCTGAGACACAGGAGAATATTATTTAACTAGCTGGAATACTCGTCCCCTGACGGAAGTTATGTAAATTCATGATTAATGAAAGGTTATTTTAGAAAATTAAAAGTTGCTTTCCATATACGTAATTTTAAATAAAGGCAAAAAGCGCCTATAAAAACTGCAAAACACAAAATGTGAAACCACAAATTTGCATGTATCTTCGCATGAACGCAACAAACCATCATGCCAAATTTGGTGAAGATCCATCAACAGGGGGGGGGGGAAGTAGTGGTTTAAAATCCAAAAAACGCTTATAAAAATCAAAAACGCAAAATGCAAAAGTGAAAATTTGTATGTATCTCCTCACGGACCTAATGAGCCTCCATGTCAATTTTGGTGAACATTCATCCACACCTTGCGAAGTAGTTACATGGACATACAACAGCCAACAGACAGTACTATTATATTTATATAGATTAGAAATAGAAGCAATGAGATAAATCCACTACAAACTGATATCTTTATCAAATCAATATTATTTGGTTTTTAACTCATAGGATGATAAACTCTCCTTGTTTACGTTTACATTTTGTTCATAGAAAACTGGATATATATGGCATCGTATAGTTTATATAAACAAAAAAAAAAAAAAACTACAAAAACCGCAAAAAGTGTTTTACTGCAAACAACTAATATAGGAAAATGAGAGTAAATTACAAACGTTTTTTTTTCTAATAGAAAATGCTCTAACTTTGTCATGTTTTAACCTGATAGACAATAACACAGATAGCTAGGTACGTTGGTTATCTTTCGTGAGAAATGCTTTTCTTTTCATATCATTACTTTGGTCTCGAATTTGATGATGGCCTATTTTGTATATTAAATTGTGGGTCAGCCCAGTTAGGTGCTTTGTGATTTTCCATAGCATGCTGCTGTGGTATTTAGAAAAGAAAAAAATTATAAATACGAGTGAACGAACAAAAAAAGCTCTTTATTTGCCAAAGTGTACACGCTTATCATCAACTGTCAGACTATTTACAATTTCTTGACTTCGGTTAATTGCTGTGGTGACAAGGAGATTTTTGTAAAATGTCGAATAGAACAAGGACAGACGGAATTGTGGTATACCACACTTTCGGTTCAGTAAAAGTGTCCAAGTGCGGTACCCCATAACACAAATCTACGTACATCAATGACTATCCCAAACAATATATAGAAATAAGAAAATCACAACTGATACCAAATTGTACAAGTATCTGTGACACTCTCTCCAGAAACTTTTACATGGTGATGATGAGTGGTAATCTTCATTAAACAGCCAAACAAACAGAATTTTGAAATTAACAAATCATATTTTTTACATTGTTAGTTGTGTAACCTTCATAGGTCTTTCACAAACTAAATTTAAAAAATGTAATTTTTCCTAAAACACAAACAAAATACTTTGACAATTCCTTATGCCTTTCATCTTCTAAATAACAAGATAAGAACCAGGTATACTGCACGCTTGCCTAAATACAAATGTAGACAATGCTTTACCCGAAACTAAGTCGACCCGCATTACTCACCAGCCTGCTGACTCGTGAATGTTATCAAACTGTGTTGGTACCAACTGTTACACTTTAAATGGATGGAGTTCAGTATTCAGCAGATTGAAAGGAGCTTTTTTTACTATACTTTAGGCTCGCGTTCTGTAGGTGTAATGCAAGAAACGTGCAGAATGTTTTGTTGTCTTCTTTTTTGACATCAGACACTATGTGTTGGATTATGACAGGTATGTTCCTCAACAGTGACTAAAAGGAAAAGGACAACGTCACTCGCGTTCAGTACAGCAACTTGGAACTAAAGTGTTTTGGTTTATGTAAAACGTTGTTTCCAGCACGTGTGTTTAACACTCGGATTCAATATCTAGAAAAAACAAAGCTATAGACAAGCAGCTTTATTCTCAGCTTTTTTACAAAGGGACCATAATGACAGATTCACGTGGATAAGTATAGCTGAACCAGTTGTTAAAACGATTTTTGGTTTAGAAATTAATCCGTATAACTTCGAATTTCTGGAAGTGTAAAATTCGAAAGATATGAAACACCAGATAGCCTGCGAGAGTATTCTTCTTATCCGTATTTACAGCGTCACTGGTTTATCTTTATATATATGGCCTCCAGTGGCACAGTGGTATGTCTACGGATTTATACTGCTAGAAACCGGGTTTCGATACTCGTGGTGGGCAGAGCACAGATAGCCCTTTGTGTAGCTTTGTGCTTAATAACAAACAAACAATCTTTATATATATATATGTATATATTCCGTTTTTTATTGAACTAGCAACCTTTCTTTACCCAGATTAATGTATATCTATCTGTGTGTCTACATTCATATTTATTTGTTTGTATATCTTTACATATCTCGCGCACCCATCCATCCAAATACCTCCTCCCACATCCACATATTTTATATTTCTAAATCTTAATTTTCAATTTAGTGTTCTATTTCTAGTGATTATCATTTTTATCAAATATTTTACAACAACCCATACAGTATTCTGTAAGGCAATTTGTGTAACCGAATCTAAAATAGTTCATAGCATGATTGGTAGTCGTAAACATATTTGGGTCCAAAGGGCAGCGTGCCGACAGAAGGGTTGCATATAAGCAGATCCGTCATAAACGTTCCCATCGGAAACTGGGCGTGAGTTTGGTGGATGAGCCTGTAATTAGACTCGTCAACTTCCACCCTCTATCAACAGTCCGTTGTATTGAATCATTATAAAGAAGCCACAGACCCGTAAGTTAACGAGATTGGATTCCGTTGTGTTGAATCATTATAAAAAGCCACAGGCGCATTAATTAATGAGATTAGGGAATGGTTAAACAAATCTCATTATACACATGCGAAAGTTGCACTAAATTAAATATGCAATTTTAACCGATTTCTCTTGTGTATTAAAAATCTTATTTTCTAAGTTGATTCGGTACTGTAAACATAATTTTTGTCTACAAATGTTTAATGTTAGAATATATATTCACAAAGCATGTTGAGGTCTGAGCAGATGATTCAACACAAATAGCAATAAATAACGTTACAACCTATTAATTTAGGGATGGAAAATATCATCAATTATGGGGCAAATCGAGTGATTTTTCTAGTCTGTCTGATTGTCTCTTTTTTTTTCCAGTTACTTTTCTAACTCGCTGGTTTTATTCTCTCTTGGGTTATACAATCATACATTAGGCACATTTAGGTATTAAAATCATTTTTCTGTGCTTACAACAGCTGGGCTAAACGGCCAGTTCAGAGAGTTTTTAGGTATAGCCATCCCTAACGTTGAACTACTTACTATAATGAAGTTAATCAGGATTTTGACTGGCTTTGAACCTCGGACCTACCAATCCGAAATCTGGTACCTAACCACTAGGTCACGTTCGTCTACCTTGTTTATTAGTATATATAAGTTACTTATAAAAGTACATTCTGCAAAACTTGGAAATTGCGTCATAATGAATAGTTTGTTTCTCGGTTATCTGCGCTAGCCGTCATTAATTTTGTACCGATAGGTTAGAGGGATGACAGCTAGTCAACAGAACCTACCGCCAACTCGTGGACAACTCAAACTGATTATTGATTTATAATGTTTCTCTTATTACGCGTCCATGGCTCAAAAGTGCGGAGCATAAGTTTGTAGCAACAGGGCGCGAACTAATGGATCATCGTATTCACAATTAATTATTACAGTTAATTATTATATGTAATGGATAATTTCAAGCTCTGAACCTGTAGAACGTTCGGATTAAGCTTCTTATGTTGTTAGTATATCGAACAAGAAAGAAAAGTCCAAGAGTTGGCTGTAAGTGCTGTTGAGTAGCTGCCTTCCCTTTTGCTTATGCCATGTCTTGTGTTATTTTCATATTGTTTGAAGTACTGGTAGCCACAAGCATTAAGAAGCAGACTTAGTCATATACCACCAGAGCAAATTCTTGTAATGTACAAATATATTTGTTTTAATTACCCTGGTGTTCAGTAAA